TGCACCAGGCCTCTAGTAAAATATATTTTTTAAAAAGAAGCACAATGTAGCTATAATTATTATAGTACCCTGGAACTACCTCTGGTAATGCAAAGAGGAGTTAAGACAATGAAGAATTGTCTAACTCATATTTCCAAGTCCCCCACTGAAAAACACCAAAAAACCTATCCAACATCTTTTTACACTATCCCATTGTTTTTCTCCATTTCACCTCATCACACCCGAACCTCTAGTCCAGTGGTTCTCACCCTTCTGGCCCTTTAAATACAGTTCCTCATGTTGTGACCCAACCATAAAATTATTTTCGTTGCTACTTCATAACTGTAATGTTGCTACTGTTATGAATCGTAATGTAAACACCTGATATGCAGGATGGTCTTAGGCGACCCCTGTGAAAGGGTCGTTCAACCGCCAAAGGGGTCGCGACCCATAGGTTGAGAACCGCTGGGGACAAGGCTCCAGGAAAAGGGGCAGCTGAGAAGTGGAGGGGAGTGGGTGGGCACCCACTACAGTGGACTCCTTTCTGAGGGGCCTACCTGGTGTGTACGCGCCCACGGGGTTTGAAGGAGGCGTTTTCTGACCCTGAGTGCTGGGGGTGGGGATGCGGGAGAGGTCCACCCAGGAGTGGCGGCCGGCCAGCTCCAGAACCTTGTCCAGGGGCTTGTTCATTAAGTCCACAGCTTGGAGCCTCTCCTTACAGCAGAAGGCCAGGGTGTCTCGGCAGGAGGCCAGGGCCTGGGGGCAAGGAGAGGGAGAGAGGCCGAGCTGAGGGCAGGAAGTGTGCTGGGAGGGAGGGGGTGGCTGGAATGGATTTTTCTGCTGGAAGCTGAAAAGCCTTTCTGCCTCTGAACTGACCCTCTTTGGTTCTAATTGCCACTGAAAAGAAGCGATTTTCAAGTCCAAGTTCAGACACCCCACCCTCTCACCCTCTGTCCAGGAGCCTTCATGACCCTGGGAGTGGGGAGAGTAGGAGCAGCAGGGCCTGGTGGCAGCTTCCCTGTCCTGGGTGTCCATTGCTTAGGTTCTGTGTCTGGCTTTGCCCTGGCACCCTGAGAAAGCCCCGCCCCACCGACTTCCCTATCAAGTGGTACAAAGTTTCAGTTATGCAAGAGGAGTAAGTTCTGAAGGGCTAGTGGAGAGGGAGCCCCATTTCCGTCTTCCTGTGCCATCCTTTTCCTCTTCAACTTGCATTCGCCTCATCCCTAGCCTCAGAGTCGCACTATCTCTTCTCTAATGAGTATCAGGAGCCCTCTGCAGTCCTGAGTCCCTCTCTCTGATCTACTGCATCTGGACCTTCACCTCATCCAAATCCTATTTCCACCATTATAAAATAAAGCATATATCTATAATAATAACAAAAGCATAATATGCTAATTAGACTGGGCAGCCGAACGACCTTCCAGACATCCTTCCGGATGACCTTCGGACGAAGCTGTGGCCGCGAGGGCCGAGACCCTTGCACAAATTTCGTGCATTGGGCTTCTAGTATATATATATATTCAGCCTTAGAAAAGCAGAAAATCCTGCCATTTGTGACAACATGGATAAAATAAGCCAGATGCTTAAAGACCAATACTACATGACCTCACTTACTGGTATATATGGAATCTAACATAATCAAACTTATAGAAGCCAAGAGTAGAAGGGTGGTTGCCAGGGGCTGAGGGGAGGGGGAAATGGGGAGAGGTTGGTCTAGTGGTACAAAGTTTCAGTTATGCAAGATGAGTAAGTTCTGAAGGGCTAGTGTATAGCAATGTGCCTATAGTTAATACTACTGTATTTTATAATTGACATTTGCTTAAAGGGTGGATGGTAAGTGTTCTCACCACACAGCATAGTAACTATGTAAAGTGCTGTACACCTTGATTGTGGTGATTATTTCAAATGTATACATACACCAAATCTCAGCTTGTACATTTTAAATATATGTACAATTTAATATATATACATATTTATTGATTTCAGAGAGGATGGGAAAGGGAAAGAGAGAGGGAGAGGAGAAAGAAACATCAGTGATGGGAATCATTGCTTGGCTGCTTCCTGCATGCCCCCCACTGAGGATTGAGCCCACAACCCTGGCATGTGCCCTGACCAGGAATTGAACCGTGACCTCCTGGTTCATAGGTCGATGCTCAACCACTGAGCCATGCCAGCCAGGCTATATGTACAATTTAAAATTGTTAATTATACCTCACTAAAGCTGGGGAGAAAAGGATACTTGACCTAAAACCACAATCCTGCCCCTGGCTAGTCCTGTGCCTGGGGTGGGGCCATCTCTCTCTGAGCCTCAGTTTCCCCACCTCCAATAAGAGACCGCAGTTCCTGCTTCACAGGAGTGCTTACAGGAGCTGACTCAAGGACTGCACAGGGCTTGGCATAGAGAGGGTGTCCATTGTTATTCTGAGGCCCAACTCCATCCCGCAGAGCAAAGCGGAAACCCAGTGAATGTCAAGTCAGAGTGAGTGGTGGGTGGGCTGAGAGGTTTGTTGTTGTTGGTCCCCAAGGTCAGAGCGGTTCGCTCCTTGGGCAGCCAGGGGTACCCCTCCAGCCCTCTTCCCTGGGTCCCAGGTATTCCCGACCTTGAGCATGACCTCTGATTTTTCCATGTCTTCCTCCATTTTCCTCTTCATGCTCTTTAACTGCTCTTTCTCCCAGGTAAGCATACTGTCAGCTTTGTCAGGGATCTGGAAAGCGAGGAGGGACTCTCTCACTCCCAGGAGGGGCCACAGGAGAGTTCTCCTTCCAGGGTGGGAGAGGTTTGCCAACCTCATAAACTCTGGGTTGCGGGGATGGCGTCGGGGGTCTCTCTGAGAAGACTTTATCCTTTCAGGGGGGCTAGAGAGTGGGGCTGGGTATCTCCCTTTTACAGGTAGGAGTCCAGTGAGCTAGGGCTGGGGGTCCCCCTTCCTTGGCGATGGTGTTACCCCCCCCCCCCCCACACCTCCCTGGCCAGTAGTGAGGAATTTCATTATAGGGATGATGAGAGCTTGCCCTTTTGGGGTCTTACTCTTTCAATTTCGGGGCTGGAACTAGGAAGACCACCCTGTGAGTAGGGTCTCACCCCTCCCCAGGGAGGCTATAATGTTCCCGCTTTGGGGTTCAAGTCTAGGGTTTCACTTTGGAGGGAGATTTCATAGAACTGGGACTAGGTAGGGGCTCTCTCTCCCTGGCCGGGATTAACTCTTGGGATTAACTCCTGGGGGCTGGGAGTCTGAGGGTCTCAACCTGTAGGCAGGACCTGCTCCTTTATTTTCCCATGAGGCCTGGGGTGGGTTTCTCACTCACTGGGGCTGGGGACAGTTTTTGTTTGTTTGTTTTGTTTTTGTTTTTATAAACATTTTGAGGAGAGTTTCATGGGTTGGGACCAGGACATCACCCACTCTTCCCAGCTGCATCTTTCACTGGGCGTGGCATTGAGGGTCTCATGACCACAGGCAGGTCTCACCCCGGGGCCTGGGGGCGGGGTGGGTGACTGCATGCCTGGGTTGGGGGTTGTGAGTTTCACTGTTTGGGAAGAAGTTCATCTTGCATCTTCTCTCCCTCACGGGGGGACTGGGATACGTCCCATCTGGGGTAAGGGGACTGAGGATCTCATCCCCACAGGGGAGGAGGAGGTGATCTCCCTCCCTGGGGCTGGGGATCAAGGCACCTCATCTTGGGGGTGTCCTCATCTTCTTGGGCCCTTGCTCACTGGAACTGGGGCCCGGGATGGGTGCTCTCTCTGCGGGGCGGGTTTTTCCCAGGGCGAGCTAAGCAAGGCTTCGGTCTTGGCGACTGGGCTTGGGTGGGGGAGGGGTCTCCCACCTTCTCCGACTCGGGCCGGTAGCCCCGCAGCTTGACGCTCTGCTGGTTAATGAGCAGGCCCTTGCGCACCTCGCTGAGCCTGTGGTCGGTGGCCTGGCGCTGGCGCTGCAGCAGCTGCAGCTGCCCATTGATCTGCTGCCTCGC